GGAGAGCCGTTCTCTGGCGTGCCATCCGACGACAATGAAACTCACTCGTAAATTGCTTAGCGAATGCTAGAACGAGATGGAGGCGGAGGGATAATACGGGTAAGATAAAGAGAGATTCTCGGAGACGATGACGATGGAGGAAAATGATGCTGTCACAGGAGGATGAACTCAGGTCTGGGTTAATAATAATTTTGTATAAACTTCTAGCTTTCTGTCTAACATTATTAAATTCAAAAGAGTATTTTTGATACAACCAATACAACAAATTTACATTATTAATACTTATTACAAAATGAATCCGCGGACTTATCAACCGGGGTTTCGCTAAGCCGCGATTTTGATTTTTCACAATTTAGATTTTTGTCAGTAACTAGCGTCACATTTCGTAATAGGTATTTCACACTACATGTACATCATATAAACTTCTTTGCATTCGCAGTTTTTACACTGGAAAAAATCTTCGTATAAAAAGAATACTAAAGATTTTGTTAAAATGAAAATATGTGTAATTAGTTAAGACAAAAACTGTTTATATGCAGGAGAATCATTTGCAAGTGACTCAAAAAAGTTTGAAGTGAATGACTCTAAAAAAAACTTAGAAATATTTACTACTCTGTAATTTTTTTAATCTATGGTGTACAGCCAACCACTGGGTTTTTCCTTTTTTACTTTGTGAATTTATCTACTGTAGGGACTATTAAAAATTGTTAGAAAACCACTCTTTTCCGTGTTTCATATGGCTCAAGCAACAAACTAATTTGTTTTTCGCTGTCTCAAACCTTGGAAATAAGGGAAAAAGCACTAGTCGTTAGTACATGAATAATACAAGACAAGACTGTTTGTTTTTACGACAATCTAAAGACTGCCAACGAATCTTCTAATTTTCAAGCGAGTAAAGAATGATTCAAAAGATTTAAAACATGAATTTCTTTACATAACATCAAAATCAGTACCGAGCTAAACATAAAGAAGAAGGGGATAGAGGGAAGAAAGTGCAAGTGAGGGATATAAACCAGAACAAGTTTAACGCCAACAAAACAGCCGTTTTTTGGAAAATAATGCCTGTTCGTACCTTCACATCTAAAAATGAGAAATCTGCACCAGCTTTTAAAGCAATAAAGGACAGGTTAAATCATATTTTTTTGTAACGTTTCAGGTGATCCTATGGTAAAACAATGCTGCTTTGTAAGTATCTAAACCCACTACCACTTAAACATAAAAGTAAAAACGAACTAGCAGCATTTCAGAAGACAAATCCAAAACCGTAGGTTACGTTAACACTGTTTAAGGACTGGATTTACTATTTTGTGTTGAGCGTGATGCAATATTTGACATCGAAATCGATACCGTTTAAAGTACTTCTTATCGACAATGCTCCTGAACAAGGACAATCCCTGGACTTCTGATTCAAATGTAAGAATTACCTTTCTATCTTCCAAGACAATTTCATTTTGCAGACTGTATGGATACCGGAATACTAGATGCATTTAAACGATATTACCTAAGCAGTACATTCAGCTGTATCTTTGATTGTATAGAACTAAATCCTTGATTAATTTAATATTCCTTACTGTGTAACTATTATCAAAGAGGTAAAGAAATAATAATAAGACTTACTCACAATCAATTTAATTTAACAATCAGACGACCGGTTTCGCTTTCTACAATTTGCAAAGCATCTTCAGGTCTAGATACAAAGTTAAACTAATGATGCCGGTACTCTATTAATTGATGGATGGTAGGTCATGGTTGCAAAAATCATGTATTGTTGATTGGAGAACTTTAATGTGCTATTGCAGTTGTTTTGACAATAACCGGGAAGTTCTTGAGGAGAACAGATTTGATCCAATGAATTAGAGATAGGTATATTGTGGTTGTTTGTCAAATGAAAGTGGTGTTATTTACTATTGTATTATTTAAATTATTTACACTTATATCAAAGATATATTTTTGGAATGTGTGTTATTTATTGAGTATTTATGTTATGAAGGAGACAGTTTTATGACAATGAATAAGAGTAGCTGTACCGATTGTGTGGTTGTGCAATTATTTTGACTTGTAATTATCAAGTCTATTGGCAAAATTAATCAATTATTTTAAAGTCAAGTATATAAAAAGTATATAAAATTATTACAAATTAAGACAATCAGGGACAAATTAAACACACATTAACAGGAACAGAAACACTAAATGACGGGACAAACATTGAATTTAAAACTTAAACTTGGGGAATGGAAGAAACTGCAAGCACTACATCTCAGTATTGGAAGTAATTCTTCTTATTCTTATTATTCTTCTTATTATTATTTCTTTACCTATTTGATATGGACTCACACAAGCAACACATTCATGATTTTATTATCAAAGAATTCACTGACGAAAAACGATCATAAATGATACACAAAAAACATGGGAAAGGTTTTGAAAATGTGCAAGGAGGTGATGTTGAAGAGGTTTTGGCTACCAACGACAGTGATAAAACAGGAGCTCCTCTAAATACTGAAAACAAAAACTTTCTCCTAAGAATTAATAGTCGAGACAGCAATCACCTCTGTATTTTAAACAAAGTAAATACACCTTCTCAAAACTTCAGGATATGTATCCTTATATGAGAAGAAGTTTAAAATTCAAAAATGCATTAAAGTGTTTCTTGGCACCAACAATGAAGCGCAAAAGTCAAACGTGAGGTCAGGTACTTCTTGCACTTGGTTTATTTCCACTACTCCATTTACGGCGCGGAAATTATCGCATTTTTTAGTGATAGTGTTAAATAATTCTGAATAAATTAAAATAAAATAGTAGATCAGAAGTGGGACGCGAACTTGCGCCCAGTTTGTGTTATCAGTGAGATTAACATTAAATCTAAAACTGACTCTATCCCAGTATCTCTCCCAGTGTTACTGTTAAAGACAAGACCTGGCTCGTCCGTGATTGAACATCTAAATGATTGTAGTTGCTGGTCAGTCTCTAAATCAAGAAAAAATCTTGGACTTAATTTAATTCCACTTCTGACACCAATGTAATGTTTGTTTTAATCTATTTAAAGTCTTCCAACACCAACACAGGACGTATTTTTACAACTTTTATTTATTTAACCGTACAAATACATACATACATATATGAAAATATAAAACAAATACAATACATAAAATAAACTAAAAAAAAAACAAAGCTGTTAATGGAAAAAAAAAGAAAACTAGCAGGTAGAACCACACATAAGAACGAAAAAGATTAGATAAAGTAAAAACAAGAGAATGCGATATTGAGATTAAAAATGCCGAAGGAAATATTGTCATAAACAGAAATTGAGTTATTCTATAGATTTAATTTCTTTTTTTGCAAAAGAACAGGCTGGTTTCAGATCAAAATATGGAACGAATGCTCATTATTCTAGTTACAAAAGCTCGGATCGGGAAATGTATTCAATATAACAAACTTCTTATACTTATATTTATAGATATTGAAAAGATCTTTGACTCAGTAAATCAATCGAAGCTCTTTGATTCCTTGAGTCAAATGTAGAATAGACCATAGTAAAGATCAAATATATTTACAAAAACGCAATATCCAACATTAAAATGCCAAACAACCAATATACGAACAACATCAGCATAGACAGGTGATAAAACACTTCTCCCCAAAAATGTTTGTGTCCCTCCTGGGATATTCTTAATAACACATGGAAAAATCATCTAGAGAAGTCGGTTTGAAAATAAATATCAAAAACCCAGTTGATAACAAATCTATACTCCTCTACAAATAAATACCATTAACATCACTCAAATAAGTAGACTAATAGATTGGAGTAGTAAAAATAGCAAGAGATGAAAGATTGTCCGACAATCTTTGAAACTAAGAAATAACCCGACGGATGAATTGAGATATACGTCTACAGGGATATCTTTTCTGTCTCTAATGATCTTTTATATAAATTGAGTAGAATTAATGAAAACATTGACATACATGCATTAATATTATTCTTAAATTATGTAGAATCTTCAAAAAGGTTGACTTTTATTGCGCATCGTTTGAAAAATACTAAAACGGTCCTGTCTCAACGTCTGAACGTAAGCGTCGCTGGTGGCTAGAGCAATTCCACCATCTGAGCTGATAACGGCTCTACCCGGCAATGCACGGCATTGCTGGCGATGCCGTCGTTTGCCCGACGACAATTTATCACAGCACCGTCGGCATTAACCTGCACACCAGCACAGGAAAGACGAAGGCAAGACAATGTCTTCCAACGGTAATGGTTCGGAGCCGTGAAAAATGATGATGATACGGCCCCGTGCGCCAAAAACGAAAATCCCTTAAGTTCGCATTCGCAATTGCGGAAAGGAAAAAAGGAAATGCATGTGGCAGCACAAAATTTAGAAAAGTAACTAAGACCAAAATCTATATTTTTTCTAAGAATTTCTCTCTCTATCTACTTAGAAAATATAAAACCCAATACACAAGATACATTTTCGTGTTTCTATAAAAACTGACTGTTCTTTCGAAACAACAGTCCTGTCATTGTGTGAAATTAAGTCACATTTTTCTATAACTTTCTCTTTTGGTCACTCCACTTCGTTTCCAATACCATTTTATTAACGCAATCATGTCTCATACCAGTTTTTCCAGTTCATTTGATTTATTCATTATATCTCGTGCTTGATCATTTTTCTTGTTTCCTACATTTGATTTTCTTTTTTTTTACATTTATTTCGGTGTTGTGGTTAGCATGTGAGTTTTATCGAATTTCAACAATTTAACAATATTTCTTTAAAATTGTGATCTTAATTTAGTGGTTTCATGATAGATACAATTTTTGCATTATTATGTTTAATATTCGCCATTTAGTAACACATTTACGTCATTTTTAAGTTTAAGAAAACTAACGCAACATAAGTAAAAATACCCCGCGAAAATCGAATGATTTAAAACTCGCAATACGGTTCTCGTATTCTATTAAACAAATACATAAAAACATACTTGTAAGAAACATTAAATCCACTTACCAATTATTAACTTGTAGTATCGTAAGGCCAGTATCCTGCGCTAGTTGTTTTTTCTGGTCCTCCGAAGGGTACGGATGCTGAAACAAAAAAATAGTATTAATATTACATGTGTTTTTTACACATTAATTAAAATATTATTAATTTGCCATAAAGAAATGAAACAAAATCATTTTAAAAGTTTCTACCTGTTTGTCCAATATAAACTGTTGGAAGAAGTGAGTACTATCATAGTATTATCTGAAAGTCTAGCGCGATTTAAGTAAGTAAAAAAAACAGTCAAATAAAATCCTTGGTTTCGTCTTTTAAAATATTCTACCCCATCATCATCATTGGTGCTACAGCCCTATAAAAGAGCCTCGACCTTCCCAAGTCTATTACGCCAGTCAGTTCTATCCATTGCCAACTGTTGCCAATTTGCAGCGCCTATTTTTCTGCCATCCTCATCTACACCATCCCTCGAATCTGAGTTTTGGCCTACCCCTACTTCTACTTCCCCCAAGTTGTGACATAAGGATTCTTCTAGGAGGGTTGTTCTGCTGTGATCTTGCCAGATGTCCTGTCCATCTTAATCTTTCTATTTTTATAAGAGATACTACGTCTTTACCACCAAATATATGTTTATATCTATGATATATCTCGTATTTGTACCTTCTTCTCCAAACACCATTTTCACAGATGCCACCGAATATTCTTCTCAGGATCCTTCGTTCAAATATAAGCAGGAGGTTTCCATCTGTCTTGGAAATGGCCCATGTCTCCGATCCATATGTCAACACTGGTTATATAAGGGTTTTGTATATGGTTATTTTTGTGTTTTGGCTTTCGTCATGACGATCTCCTTGGTGATCAGGTAGTCTAAGTATGTGAATTTGTGCACAACTTCAAAGGTAGAGTTATCAACCGTGAATTGGTGGCTGATGTTTCTGGCTCTATTGTTGGTTGTTGATGCCATTATGTTAGTTTTCTCTTCATTTACTTGCAGTCTTATATGTTTTGAGGCATTTGACAAGGTGGTATACATTTCTTCTAGCTTGCGTGTTGTGCGGGTAACTAGGTCAACATCATCTTCATATGCCAAAATTTGGGATGATTTATTAAAAATGTTTCCTTTGTTGTCTATTTGGGCATCCCTGACCGCCTTTTCCAGAGCTATGTTGAAAAGGAGACACGACAGCGCATCTCCCTGTCGCAGCCCAACATGCGTTTTAAATGCCTGGGATTGTTCACCCTGTATTTCGACTTTGCAAACAACTTTACGCATTGTAGCCTTAACCAATCTTATCAGTTTATCGGAGATGTGAAATTCATCCATGTCTTCATACAATTTATTTCTTAGGACACTATCATAGGCCGATTTAAAATCTACGAAAAGATGGTATGTGTCGATATTGACTTCATTGGTTTTTGCCAGTATTTGCCTTAGCACAAAGATCTGGTCTGTTGTTGATCGACCAGGCCTAAAACCATTTTGATATTCGATAAGAAGCTCTTCTGAATATGCACTCAGGCGACCATCTAAAAGTCTAGCGCGATTTAATAAGTCAAATAAAATCATTGGTTGCGTCTTCTAAAATATTTTACCTATTTGTATAATATAAGATTTTTTTAAGTGATTGTCAGGGAGGTTTAATTAAATATCCTTGTCTAACATTTTTTAAAACTTCACCGAATATAATTCCTTAATTAAACAATATAGAAGTAAAAAACTTCCGACTCTTTTGGTATTCAAAGGCTGCAAAAGTTTGTATGTGGTTGTTAGGCTGTATTGTTAAAAAGGCAAAAGTCAAATTTCCCTCACTCAAACTAACAATTATTTGTATCTACTATTGTTCAGATAAAACACTACCCAACGTCAGTAATGCAGTCAATTAGTAAACTGTAGTATCAGCAATTTCGTAAAAAGGGGCGGTGTATAATCGTCTGACATACGGTAATTTACGTCGGGGCGGTCTTTCTCAGGAATGACACGTGATTATCCTTGTTAGCATCCTGGAGGCGGCGTTCGGACGTGCAGACATCAAGGATAGACTAATAAATGACAAAAATCGGTTCTAGATATGTGACGGGCGACTTCGGAGAAAATGGAGGCTGCACCGGGAGTGCGGTTAAAGGGCAACTTCTATCCTGCTGACAAGTAAAATGTTTTTGAATGCACCGAAAGACAGGGATGATGCTTTATTGGTTTATAATACTACAAATTATCAACGTCAGCAATACAAATTTTTTGCTGTAACTCAAAGAGGAGGATTCTTTCACCACACGTCGTCATGAAATCAATTTTAACAATACAGATTATATGATAACACGTATCTATTTTCAATTTATATTAAAACATAGTTTGTTTGCTTCCCAAGACACTTAAGCAGAGTCGTTAGGAAAAATTAAAAAAAAAACACGTTGTAAAAAACATGTTTTAACAATGATAATGCTTCCATATAATAGCTCTAGATGTGACGCCAATTGATGCCAAAATGAGAGCATAGTTTAAATTTCATAGAGCACGTTTAAAAACGAAATGATAATAAATTATTCGAGCGAAAACCAAGTAAGACGTGAAGGGATTCAGCAATAATAATGATGATAAATTTGTTCTATTTGATTCTTTTTTTGTAATCAGTCATTACTCAAGAAACCACTTGTTGTTAAATAACTTTTAATCACCAACCTATGAGACCTCAAATATAACAACTTTAATACAATAGCTACATTAGATAGATATTAACAAATTTAAATCAGACGAACAACCAAGTGAGACAGCTGATTTTTTATGGATTAAGGCAACATATGATATAAAAAATATAGCAACACAAGAAACACTACGAATAAACCTAATAAAAGTTGGATTTCTGGGAACACATGGCGTGAAATTAAAAAATATATATATAAATCCCAGAGTCTTACGCTCAAAATACTCAGAGCTTAGTAAAGAAGAAATTTAAGATGCTTCAAGAAACAAGAAGAAGGTGCTTAGCAATTCGACCATAAGATGACACTTTGGTAACAAATAAAACACACATCAAAGTTCTTTGAAAAGAATACTGTGAAAATTTAATGAAAGACAACACAGCTCAGGGAAATCATATGCAACTTGAATGCCCAGAACCAGAATCCCGATAGTGTGAGAACAAGTGGCTGCTGTACTAAGAAAGCTGGAAACTCACAAATCACCTCCAACAGACAACATTGTCACGGAAATGCAGAAACTGATATTTTTTATAAAATATTTCACCTAATTTGAAGCAATGGAACCTGGTCTGAGGACTGAACTAAATTAATATACATCATTTTTCACAAAAAGTACTGAAAGATATATGCAAAAGTTATCGTACAATACTGCTCATTTCACATGCCAGCTGCATATTATATCAGAATGTCTCAAATATTACACCCTTCCACAACTGCCACGGAACTAAATGGACTTTGTATCTCATGGAGAGAATAGATTTTAAACATAAACAAATTATAGAAAAAGCCAAAATATCTACTTATTTATGCTACATTGACTACACCAAAGGGTTCCACACTTTCGACATCCTCTTTGATGTCTTCTTCAGAGCTTTCGACGTCTCAGTCTCCCGAGCCCTCAGACACTAGTACACTGATTACTAATCAATGCACTACCATACTACAGTAGTACAGTAGTAGTAGTACTACAGTACTACAACAACACCACAATAAAGCATCCTCGAAGAAATGGATATACCCCTTTTTTTATCTACCTAAAAAATAATCTGTACAATACCAGCGGCCAGGTTAAGGTGGAAAGTGAATTAATTGAGTGTTTTTTGTCAACAAGGGTGTGCAACAGGGAGCTGTACAGAGCTACAGGCTCTTCAACGAATGAGTGAATTATGAGACATGCTTTAAAGAAGTGGGAAGAAGGAATCTACATCAATGGCACCAAAATGAATAACCTTCTGGGAAAAAGATATCGAACTTAGTAGTGAAGTTCGGTTCGGTTCGTAATGCCCCTTTGTCCGCTTCTCGTCGATCGATGCTGGTAGGGTTAATAAATGTTGAAGTTGTGGAGTAAAGGTAATTATTTATTGACAGCAACTCGTAATTACACAATATGGTGTTCGTTCGGTAACTACTCAATATTGACTGTGTTCATTTGAACTCAAATCCCCAATTTATAATCTCACACATAATAGATACATTAGCACCTTAGGTCATTGCTTCGTTCATATCACACCACCTAACTTTTGCTTATAATACAATTTAATTTACGCCTTAATTGCGACACTTGGGAAGTTCAATTAGAAAATATTGTTATTCGGCAATTTATTTAGTTGTAGGTAAATGAACTAATTATTAAATTATCATACGATATGGTTTTGCAATATGTATAATGCAAACTTATACACGGTGAAACTATAAAAGATTAAGAAGTTAAGAATAATGTGAGATTACAAATTAAGGGGTTAATTTGTGATTGAACACTTCGGTAGGCTGATGATACAACCCTAATAGCTGCATCTAAAGAAGAACTAGAAGAAGTTTAATCTCTGAAGTCAGTCTCCAGATTAACTGGATTAATTGAAATTTATAATTACGATAGTGAAACTAATATCCAGTATACTTTTAACACAATACGAAATAATACAGTTTGACCTTATATTTGTCAGGAAAATATGACCACACATTGAGAAAACATGACAGTTCTCGCATGGAATTGTAGAACTTTCCAACATAATAAAAAGTTCAGTTCTAAAACTTCGTCTGTAAGTACATGCCACGGAAAACTTAGCTACTATTTTAAACCGGTGTTTATTTATAAGAAAAGTTTAAATTACATTTAGTTTTCCAACTAAATAGTTTTCATAAAAGCAGATGGAAGATTGTCTTCAAGTATAGAACTAAAAGCAACAACGGAGAAACTTATACAACTGGAAAACTACTACTACTGTATAATGTTTTAATGTTACATATTTTTCATATTTCTAATCTAATTTAGAAAAAAAATTGTTTTTTAGTGCTTATTCTCTATCGATATTATGTATAATGTTGGTTCAGATAATCTTTGTATTGTGGATCTGATCAGATCAACTTAAACGAAATTTGGTTGCAACAAGAT